AACAATAAAATTTAAAAGTCATCTTTCAAACTTACTACCATTTGATATATAACAAATATAAATAAAAGTTTTAAATTCTAATTTATTTGATTGAATTATTGAATGTTTGGTTAAAAATAACTAAAAAAGTACTTTTTGTGAAACATAATATCACTTTTAAAGATTGTCTGTCAATTCAATACTGAATACGGAATATAGTAAATAAATATTTAAAGTCATTATTCAAATTCAATTAATTTAATAAATGAAATTTTAATGAAACACAACAACTATCTCAATAATTATATATCCAAGTATAATTTATGTTAAAATTATCTTTAATCAACTTTAATCACTTATTTAATTGCAAATTAATTATAAATAGATTTGAAAATACCTTGAAGTTTTTTTGAAATAAATTATATTAAATATATCTAAACATTTTTAAAAATAAATGTTAAAAATTGTGTAAAATGTAGTCTTAAAGAAACTGATTTTATTGATTATCAGTTATAGCAGATATCATAAATATACTGTATATAATAATAAATAAATAATATTTTGCTCATTTCTGGACCACTAGTAGTGACCAAAAGACCATTTCATAAAAGACCACTCATTAGGAGTTATTAATATCTTATCATTTGATGAAATACAGGAAATTCTTGGGAAAAAGTAACTTATATTCAATTGGGTTTACGTCAAAGTTTATTCAAAATTGATGACAATTATGTAATGATTATATCATCATATTATATACAGCATATAATACCTTTAATGCAGTAAAATGTGTGAATGTATTAAAAATTAAAGCTTTCTTATGTGACAAACGATTGGATATAGACTTTTGACAGGAATGATAGGTTGGGTGCAAACAATACAATGGACAGTGAAATACAATTCTTTACAAACTGCGAAACAATTCGAGAATTTGTTTGCTTTTCATATTAGTGTCAAATGTCTTGAATGAGTCCACAAATGGGTGACATCAATGAAATGCAATCCACGGCTAGAGTTGACAAAAGCGTCTCACTGTCTCAGGACTGCAAACAGAGCTGTCGGATATGCTTTTGTGGCAAATCGAGGGGTCGGTTGGTGTCGGTCTGCAACTGCAAGGGCTCTCTGGCAGCCGTTCACCGCAAGTGTCAACAGAAGTGGCTTCAGATCAAGAGGACAGACAGATGCGAGTTATGCAACACTCAGCTCAATGTCCAGAGAGTCCACAAAGACTTCAAAGACTGGATTCGCCGCAAGAATAGCACGAATCGCTGGTATCACTGCTGGATGTGATGTGTGCGCTAACTGTCGTCCCAATCATAGGCTTTTCAGTGAGATATCCAATCATCGGTAGTCTTCTCAACTCCATTTCGATGTTCATATCGTCCACACTATTCGTATCAATGGCTCTATTGATAGGAATGACTGGTCTGTGGACACTGGTCTGCATCGACCATCACTGTCACGCTTACTTCAAATGGAGATCCTCTCGATTTAAATACATCCTTATCCTCACAAATACCAAAACACTCAATATTGATGGCACAGTTGGCAAACCCGTGGGTCTGTCCACTCGTGTCCTCTCATACTTTCATTTAACTTCATCTCAACAACCAATTCATTGGGTTTAATATCACGACAAACCACAGTATTATAGTATTTAATGATTATTTACCATTAACTTGTATTTATGTACCGTAACAGCAATGAAATATATTTACCGGTGTATAAATTGCATTTTATTGTTCACAGATAACATTTATTCATTTCAAACATTTATTAATAAAAGATATTCAGAAAAATTTAAATACTTTATTCATTAAAAACTTGTCATAAACTTGAATAATGTTTAGTACACTTAAGTATTATAGTTAAAAACTGATAATCATATCAAATATGAAACAATTAGTATCGATTCAAATGATTTTGGGGTAAAAAATCATAATTAGCGCAGATTTTGCAAAAGTGGTCAAACAGTTGTTATATAAGTTATAATTAGATTACATTCCCATTGCATGTGCGGCAGCCGTCTGTTCCATCTGCGATTTGGGACCCTTTATGGTCTCATCGACTGATAATATAAGACAAGCGGCTTCTGTGGCCGCAGTGATGGCATTAGTCTTGACGACCGCCGGTTCCCACACACAGGCGTCAAAGTTATTAGCGATGTCTTCGTTATTGATATCCACACCAAACCAGAGGCCGTCGTTTAATGAGTGCTTTTGTCGCAATTTATTCAAAATATTGGTCGCATCGAAGCCGGCGTTTTCGCAGAGTTGGCGCGGAATCACTTCAAACGCTTTGGCCATTGCGCTCATCAACAGCTGCTCTTTGCCCGGTATTGTACGCGAATACTCGCGCAGGTATTTCGAGATCTCCATCTCTATGGCGCCCCCGCCCGCCACTATCGAGTCATTCTTGAGGGCCCGCCGAACGATCATAATGGCGTCGTGTAGGGAGCGCTCCGTCTCCTCCATGAACTGCTCGGCGCCTCCTCTCAGGATTATCGTCACTGTCTTCGAGTTGGGACACCCTTTGAATACATTGAACCTATTTATGAGACATTTTACGATTAGATTTGTTTGATTTAATAACTAAGGCATCAATATATTAGTGAATATGAGGCCAACTCTCAAATCTTAATGATTATTATTCCACAAAAGTAACGCTAATATCTTAATAGGAAATCCGATATCAACTGACTTTTTTGTGGTCAACTAAACCATAGTAAACGCAAAACAATACAAACCTCTCGCCTCCGATCTGCAACTCCTCGAAGTCCTCACACGTGCCTAAGTTGCTGTCATTCAAGTCGTAACAAGTGGTGAGAATAGATCCGCCGCACGACCTCATCGTGCGCTTGAGGTCGTCCTCAGGCACCCGACCCGCACAGAATAGGTCTCTGTCGGCGAAGTACTGAGTGGCCACATCTCCGATGGGCAGCTTCGAGAGCACCACTTTGGCGCCGCTCTCGTGAATCTTTGCCAACTTCTCGTACAGTATATCCCACTCGGCGTCCACCACCTTCTGGTACTCCTCCACGTTGTCCACCCGGACCTCTGCGTTGTCTTTCTCCGCCTTCAGCTCCAACTCTACGTTCAATAACGCGATCTTCGGCTTCGTGTAGCTCTTGGGCTGCATCTCAAAGCCGGCGTTTCTCTTCCAGAAGAACTTCCGTTGCGGCCTGTGCTCTGCGCTGAGGAGCTCTCGAGGCGGCCGCTAGAAGAATTACGGCTAGTATAACTCCCCTTCCCACACAAGCAGGTCAACATCGTGACGCAGCACAACCATCTGCGCGAAGTACTCCTTCTGATGGGACACGAGTTTAGAGGAGAGGGAAGTGAGGGCACACTTCTCCAGAAGCGATCGCTTCCCCTTCAGGTCGTCCTTCGAGAACTTCACCGCAATTTCGTTGATCTTATCGATGCATAACTGCCGACCCTTTCGGTAGCTCTTTATGATCGTCTGCGGATGGAGTCCCTCCTCGACAAAGGCTTTGCTTTGTTTCAATAGCTCGGCGGCCAATAGGACCACACTTGTGGTGCCATCGCCTACCTGTGCGTCCATACATACAACGGGTTAACAAAGGGAAACCGGGGGACAGGGATGAGTGGGTGGACAGACCTCCTCGTCCTGTGACTTAGCGATGTCTACGAGAGTCTTAGCGGACGGGTGAACGATGTCCAGCCTCTTGAGGATAGTGGCGCCGTCGTTGCTGATGGTGACCGACCCCTTGGCGTCGACGATCAACTTATCCATACCTCTGGGCCCTAACGTCGTGCGCACGGCTTCGGCGACACTCTGGCAGGCGGTGATGTTGGAGATGACCTGACTCTTACCCTGAGCACTTTCACTGCCCTCCTTCAGCAGTATTATCGGCGCATTCTGGGCACATGTGGACAGACATGCCATGCATTAGTATTGCAGTTAGTGTTGCCATCAATACCACCCATATATCAATAGATATGGTCATGCTTACCATCATTCTGGTGCCCATTGTCACTGTGGGATGTGTTGGCTATACGTTGAATGCAATGAAAGTGTATATCAAATGATAATTAGTAGCAATTGAAAGACAATTGAATGACTGAATGGCTTATTGTGTGAAACAAACACTCATTGAATACACGCCTGAATTGCCGACTAATATGGACTTCACTTCACATCAATGACGTCCACATGAAAGGCCTAGTTTTTGGCGAATACAGTGTTTGCATTGTTTAGGGCTATGGATATGAAATTGTAGGGCAAATGTTCACAAGTCCAGTCACCGACTTAGTCCACATCGGTGTGTGTGTAGTTGCCGTTCTTTCGGATTAACTTTTGGGGAAAATTACTCACAAAGTGAACTGACGTGCTGTGTTAACGGTTAAGATTACCCATTCCAATTTCAACGATACAATTACATTGTGTTTAAGAATAAGTATTGCAGTGAAAGTGAATTCGGAAATTAGAGAATTTGGTGACAGACTATATAATAGATGATTATTATCTCAATTGTGTATTATATAAGACTGTCATTTAGATTGTTGTATCACTCAATTATTATCATCATATACCAGAATATTCTGTAATTATTTATACATAACATTTATAACTATTATTCATTCAATCATATGATCACTTAGTGTACACTACAGTATAATATTAAATAATATTATTATTAAGTACAAAATTTGCAAAAGTATTACAATATAAGTATTGATAGAGTAATACAGAATGTACTAGCTAATATCTATAGTTTATTTTATAGCGTTTTATAGTTTTAGTTAAAATAAATGTTAATTTAATAAATATTTTGTTTTTGCCTTTCTTTGAGTGCTTTTGAGTATACTTTTTGAGAAGACTTTACTTTTTCTTTTGAACGCTTTCCTATGAAGTGATCAATTCTTGCATTTTATGCTTTTAATATACTTTAACACAATAAAGGTCTGCATTCTTGACAATTGAATAAAATGTTAATTTAAGACAAATTTGTGTGAATGTAATGTAAATACGAGAGACATATTTAAATTGCTTTTAAATTTGCATTTCATACACAAACACATTACTGGGAGATAAGGATTGTGCGGATTTTGATGACTCTTCCGGCAATTGTATGAATATATTGGTGTGAAAAGCAAACACAAAATTACTATATTATATAATGCATGCGAGAAATGGCAGATATGGAGACAATGAAAGCATCAAAACGTATGACATTTTGTGTCAAAAGTGAATCTTCGGCTCAAAAACTTATTGGAAGAGAAGAAATCGATTATTAAGAAAATGAAACGGTTTTTGAATCATTGAAAACAGTTTTGAAGACCAGAGCCAATACAATGTATACAAACAAGTCGTGTAATGATGAGAATTGATCGCAAGAATTGATCACTTAATGGATTCACTTTGGATTCACTTCCAAATAACCCTTTTATAACATAACAGGCCTCGATATCTTTATCTTTTTTGTGCAAAAATACAGAGAAATCACAGAAACGACTGATCGCTAAAAGAAATGAATAGAGAAGACGAAAAGAAATCAGAGAAAAATGTTAAACACATATACACTGTATATATGAGTATATCTCGGGAATGGAGGAGCACTGGTAGGACTCGATTCAAGAAATTACTGTATAATCCATTGATAGCTGAAAGGTAATTTAGAATAAAGACTGAGTGTAAGTCGATACTAAACTAACTAACAAGTCAATTATACATATAATATATTTCTTCACTAAAAATATGGGTTTCTAAGTGAACTCAACTCGAGTTCTTTTCTTTCCATAAAATAATGTTTTTCGTTTGTTTCCGAATAATTTCAGTCAATTACACCAATGAATACATTGTATTATTATAACAGTAAAATACTATTACCGTACAGAGTATATTGTATTATACAGTACATTGGTACACTAAACTCAGGACTATTCAAATAATAATTACATTGCCATTCATTGCATTGCACTTATAAATTGGATTTTGTCATTAAAAATAAAAATTTCTAATTAATTATGAATTTTGTACTTTGCAAAACATTTTCAAAATTCTGATTATTTAATGTTTATTTACTTGTTATTAAGATTTTAATGTAACAATTAAGCAAAATATTATTTAAAAATAAACTTTGTTTGTTATTTTATGTGACACCTTTACTATAAATGCAATAAAATATTCTGACTGATACGGTATACTGTATACTAAATTTGAATAACAACTTCTGTAGAAAGGGGTTTAATGTTTAGTTATAGATTTTCAATTTACTATCACTAATGACTCTTATGATAATACATTTAAAACTAAATAATCATATAGTAGATCTAGATTGTTTTTAGTAGTTTTAAATTTTCGTATAAAAATAAAATAATGAAATATTTCTGACATTTCTTGATAATTTAAATTTTGTTTGTTTTCTACATATATATTTTTAATTCAAAAACGATTATTTCGCAGAAAATTTAATTTTAAGAAATTGAAACATTTATTCAAATAAACATTTTTATTGAGCATCATTACTATAGATTCTATAGTATAGAATATCATTATAACTATCATTACTGAATCATTAGATATACTGTTTATAGAATTCTTAATATAGATATAGACTATCATACTGTACCATATCCAACATATAAACATACATAGCTAGTATAGTAAGTAAGGAAAATACCTTATTGATATTATACAAATTATATAATATATTTACGGTACTTAAGTATAAAGTTGTGTTTTATTGATATTGATATTTTATAATAAAAAATATTAATAATGCAATGAAATATATTATTCCATATAATAATTTTAAATTTTATTAAATAAAAGTTTTTATATTAATATTTAGTTATTATTATAAGTTTAGTTGATTGAGTATAAGAACATGTACTGTATGTATTGTATGACTATATGACTGATAATAAATATTATATAAACATTAATTTATAGTAAAATGAGTTAATGAACAGAAAAAAATTCAATTAATGTTATTAATATAGTGTAGAATTATAATAGTATATTAATTTTTATTGTTATTTTTACTCGTAATGATCTCTTCCGGTATAATACATTTAATCGACTATTCATTTACTCAATTCTTATACAGAATTTTCAGGTTTTTCAAAACATTTCAAAAATTTTATACACTTTTTTATGGGCTGCGAGTTTGCATCTGTTGTGTCATGAGATGTATTTCTGTCAATGATATTCAATATATCTTAAGAAATCAATTTTTGAGTTGCATTTCTCTCAAAGAGTTCAAGACTTCTATTCTTATCAATTCATTGATTGAAAAAAAACAGTTTTTCCCAATACTGTAAACTAGTCTCACATTTAAGTTATCCATCAATTTCAATTCAATCATTATTTAAATGTATACCGTATCCCCAATTCCCAAACAGTTTTATTCCCAATTATAGCCCGATTGTTACGATTCCAAGAACTTGATGATTCGCTTTAGTAGTAGTGTACAGAGTATTCATTTTATTAAATTAATATTTAATATGTTAATTTATTAGTATTATTATTTTTTCTGTTGTATAAATAATAATAAAACTATTGTACGTTTCAATATTGTTTAAAGTTCAATTTATAAAATATTTATATTGATTTATAAACTAAAATTAAATAATCATATAATTCAATATATAAAGTATATCATATGAGATATTAATTTCCACATTCTATATTAACTTAAAGTAAATTAATATAAATTATATAAAATAATATTGTTATTTTTTAACATCATTTGCTCATAAATATTATTATTACCGTATTTGTCTATTATAATTTTATAAATTATATTGAAATCAATGTTATTAAACAAATACCTGTATAAATATCAATTGAGCTTAAAAATATTCATTAATCTTACCAACATACCATATTTTAATTGTGTGTTTGTAAGTAGAAATAACAACACAATATTATAAAAACAATTAAGTTTTGACATTTCGTATAAATTAGATATATAACATTTAATAAATCTATTTTCTTAGACAAACAAATGTCAAAATAGTATCAATAATAGTCTTACATAAAAATAGATTAATAATTATAGTATTAATAATAAAACAAAATAATGATTTTCTTATGAAATAATAATTGTCCAAGTAAAATAAAACAAACTTGTTACTCAATAATAGAAATTTAATGGAATAAAAAATTCAAATATGATAATATAGTGTAGAGCAGTCCTGTCTAAATTATTAAAAAACAAAAAACATGTGGCACATAATTTATGTATTTCTTATAGATTATCAGTAGATAAAGCTCTTTACAAAAACAAATATCATTACTATTTTTACTGTATTCACAGTCACCTGTAAATGGGTAATTTTAAAACATATATGACTTAAGATTAATCAAATGCAGTCTCACAAATATTTTATCTTATAAGCAAATTTTCTGTGCTTTCGACTAAAGTATAAAATCTTACATTAGTATAGCTATACTTTAGTTGAAAGCACAGAAATGTTGCTTGTAAGATAAAATATTTGTGAGACTGCATTTGATTAAACTTCATTCATTAATTATTTTTTAGTATAGAATTACAGTTTTAAAAATATTTACAAACTCAATTAATTGAGTCTAATCAGATACATTCCTATAAGTGAGTCAATATTTCACACATAAAAATACTAAAATAAATACTTTATTTCAATATTACAGTTTATAATTTTCAGTTAATAATCTATAACTCTCACTCATACTAACGTGTACTATATTTGTGAGCCTAAACCTTGAAGGATATTAAAAACGTGTGAGAGTTTGACTCCCAATTTGACTCCTTAGACAGGTCTGGTGTAGAGTATATCTTTTATAAAATAATCATTAAATGTCATAGACTAATTGAACTTTTCTAAATGTTTACTTGAAAACAATTGAGTTGTATAATGCAAGTTTTATTCACGAGCTTTGAATGTAATAAAAAATTAATTAATTAAAGTGTGAAAAGGCGTCAAAAGTGAGAATTAGTTTTTCAATAAAATAGTCCACTTGAATTAGTATTCATTCATATGATATATGTGTTGAAACATTGAATTCATTGAATGAATATTGAGTTTGTGATTAGTTTTGCGTCTGTGATGCCGAGTATTAATAGAGGCGAGTGTTTGTAGAGTAGTCTCAAAATATTTTGGATGATTTAACAGTTTAGAGTCAAAGCAAACACTTGTGTATAATATATAAAAGGATTG